GTAGGGAAGAGTGCAATGACTAAATGTAAAATGAAAAAAGAGAAAAGAAAAAAGAATTCACCATTTGAACTCCATAGCAGAATAGCAATGACAGAAAAGAGAAGGAGTCAGTGAACTTGGAGATAGAAAAATAAAAATTCTTCAAAAACAGAAAAAGAGAATGAGAGAGAAAAAGAACAGATACCTAGGAACCTGTGGACAATACCAAAAGAGCTTTTATATAAATAATTGGAGTTCTAAAAGGAAGGGAGAAAGGGTATGGGATATAAAAGAAAGGATATGAAAAAATGTTTTCAATAAAGAACAACAGAAAACTCCTTAAATGGAACGAAACATAGACGTTTACAAACTCAAAACCCCAAACAGGGCAAATATAGAGAAAATTGCACCTAGATATGCCACAATCAGACTTTTAGAAACTAGAGATAAAGAGAACATCTTGAAAGCAATCAGAAAAATGAACATCACAGAGAGGAGAACAATGGTATGAAAAGTCACCTACATCTCATTAGAAATAATGGAGTCCAGAGGCAATGGGATGGTATCTTTAAAGTGCACATAGAAAATTAAGAACTTATCAACCATGATTCTGTGTTCTTCAAGAATGAAAGTAAAATAAAGACTTTTTTGAGGGGACCAGCAGTGGGCGTAATGGCTATGTTGCTGAACTCCTATGTAGTCGACCATGGTTCGAGTCCTCGACCCGGTGGCTTAAACTCATGCCGGGTGTGTGTGCGCGTGCGTGCCCAAGATCATGCCCTCTTCTAACCCTCTGCATCTTGAGCAATCTGGATCCACAGCATGTGCTCAGTGTTTCAGACTGGGCCAGGAATTAGACTGCGGTCTCTGTGTGGGAACTGGCTTCTCTCTCTCTCTTTTGTTCTAAAGAATTATTTATTTAATTTAACTTGTTATTATTATTCAGTTTGAGGAGAGAGAGAGAGAGTGAGTGTGAGAAAGTAAGCTACTGGGTCTGGGACTCTAACCATGATCAGCCACATAGGAGTCCAGTGCCTTAACCACCATACCACGTGCGGGTCCCATGAACAACTTCTCTTAAGCAGCACATTACCACCGTGCCAATGAGTTGTCCCAGTCATTGCAAGCTTTTTAATTTGAACTGGTACAGGGGCCAGAAGGTGGCATGGTGGTTAGCCACATGCTGGACTCCCCCATGGCCGACTGCGGTGTAAGTCCCGGGCCTGGCGGCTTGCTTTCTCATTTTCCTCCTCTTTTTCTCACTCTATCCCTCTCTGGTTAAATCAAAATAAGTAAAGAAATAAATACAGTTAAATAAAATAATGATTTTTAAAAATTGAACTGGTACAATATTAGGTGTAAGAAGAATGTAAGCTACTAAGGATGAATGTCGTGGGACCAGCAGATAGTGTGATGGTTATGCTGGGCGTGTGTGCATGTGTTCCCAAGATCGGGAGAGGAGAATGGAGGAGAAGGGATTGTGGCATGGTCCTCCCCAGGGGGTGACGCCTTGCTTTCTGTGTCTCTGGCAAGCACACACGCCATGGCAAAAAAATCTCTCTTAAAAAAAAAAAAAAAAAGGAAGGATGGGTGTAGTAACCCATAGAGCAGCGGTCCCCCACCTTTTTGGCACCAAGGACTGGTTTTGTGGAAGGCAATTTTTCCCTGGACGGGGCTGGTGGGGTTTTTGTATGATTCAAATACATTACATTAGTTGTGCACTTTATTGCTATTATTATTGCAGTGTAGTATGTAATGAGACAATTGTACAGTTCACCATAATGCAGGATTAGTGGGAATCCTGAGCTTGTTTTCCTGCAGCTAGACAGCTTTGACTGTGGGTCCCATGAGAATCTACTGCTGCTGCTGCTCCGACGGGAGGTGGAACTTGGGCAGTAGTGCAAGTGATGGGGAGTGGCTGTAAATACAGATGAAGCTTGGCTCGCTTGCCCGCTGCTCACTTCCTGCTGTATGGCCTGGTTCCTTGTAGGCACGGATGGTACCGGTCTGTGGCCCAGGGGTCAGGAACCCATGCCCTAGAGGAGTCAATAAATTAAAAAAAAATTAACTAAAATGTCAATAGATAAAATGGCATAGTAAAAATATTCATTTATTCCAAAAGAAGACAGTAAAGGAGGAAGAGAGAAAAAAGAGAGGAAAGCAGAACATAAATAGCAAAATGTTTGCTGTAAATCCGATTATATCAATAATTATTAGGTTGTTGGGAAAGTCATGACATGTTTTTCTATGCAAAATACCTCTTGACTTTCCTGACAACTTAATACATTAAGTGTAAATGGACACTATAAAAGAGATGGTCAGAATGGATCCAAAAGCAGGACTAAACTGTCTACTGTTGACAAGTGTGCTTTAAGTCAAAAAGAAGCAAATAGGCCAAAGTAAATTGATGGAATAAAGAGATGAGACACTGTAAAAGAAAAAGCTAGCAAATTTGAAGACACAGTTATAGAAACTTCAAAATGAAATACAGAGTGCTAAAACCTGGGGCAAAAAAGAATAGAACTCAGTGAGGTACAGATGTCAGGTTCGCCCAATGTACATGAAATTGGAGTCCTTGAAGAAGGAGAGGGTAGAAAAAATATCTAAAGAAATAATGGCTGAAGTTTTCTCAGTTTGATGAAAATCATAAACCTACAGATTCAAGTACCTCAGTGGCACAAGAAACATGAAAAAGTTCATCTAAGTATAACATAATGAAATTTCTTACAACCAGTAGTAAAGGGAGCAACTTAAAAAAAAAAAGTTTAGTGTGTGCTCACACTGAATTTTTTTCAAAATGTATCTCCCTTTATCATTGGTCATAAGAGAGAAAGAGAGAGAAGGCCCTCCGTGAGGCATGGTCATGCCTCAGTCCTTTTCCCTCCATTTCTCTGTCCCATGAGGATTTTGGACACACACCTCAGCTCCTGGAGTGTTTTCCAGGCCTCTGGACTGGGATTCAAACTATGGTGGGCTTTGAAGGATCAGGCTTCCTGTGCACAGCACTTAGCTGCTGCACTGAAGGGCTGGCCTAAAGCAGAAATCTTAAAAGCAACCAGAGGGTGAGAAAGATATATTACAGAGGAACAAAGATAAGAATGATGCCTAACTTCTCATGGGAGATATGAAGTTCATGTGAAAATGAATATTCTATAAAAACAGCTTTGCATGAATTTCATCACAAATATTTTTCACCAAAATAAACTCAGGCTTTAGTTCCATTTCTCATACAAACTTTCTGAAGTCCCCTCATGATGCCAGAAGACAGTGGAACACAGTTTTAAATTACGAAAAGGAAGACAGAAATGAAAACCACCATCAACCTAAAATTGAATATCCAGTGCAATATCTGTTTTTAAGAATTATTTTATTTAACTTTATTTACTTATTTTAATTTGACCAGAGAGGGAGAGGGAGAGGGAAAGGGAGGGGGAGAGAGAGAGAGAGAGAGAGAGAGAGGCAGAGAGAGAGAGAAAGAGAGAACAAACCCCCAGGTTTGGGACTCGAACTGTGGTTGGCCATATGGGAGTCCAGCCTTTAACCAGCACACCACCTGCCAGCCTCGAGCTGAGGTTGATTCATAAGAAAATTTGCACTAAGAAATGTTAAGGACCAGCTGGTAGCATGGTGGTTAAGCAGCTGGATCCCACAGAGCTGACTGCATGGTTCAAGTCCCAGACACAGCAGCTTGAAAAACATACTGGGGGACCAGCAGGTGGTGTGCTGGTTAGGGTGATGGACTCCCACATGGTAGGCTGCAGTTTGAGTTCCGGACCTGGCGGCTTGCTTTCTCACCTTCCCTCTCTCTCTCTGTCTCTGTCTCTCCCTGGTGAGTGCATGTGCCCTAAAGCAAATTTAAAAAACAGTAATAAATACAATTAAATAAATAATAATCATCATAATAAAAAAAAATCCTAAAAACATGCTGAGTACCATGCATGCCCAAAATCCCAAGAGGAGAATGAAGGAGAAGGGATTGTGATAAGGTCATCCCCCCCTGGAGGTGGGTGGTGATTTCTCACTTTCACTCTCTGTGTGTCTGTCTGGCAAACACACATGCCCTATGACACATTTTTAAAAAAGGAAAAAGAAAGAAATGTTAGTGAAGGGAGTCTTGAGATGGGAAGAAAACAAAGATACCAGTCACAAATACCCATCTACACAGAGGAATGATGAGCACCAGAAATGGTGACTGTTTGGGGAAGAATGAAGTACTTTTTGTTCTCATCAAGAGTGTCTTTCATGGAGTTGAAGAGAGCAATCCCATTTACAACGGACACAAAAAGCACGATACCTACGAATAAGCCTAATGTAAGAAGTGAAGGACTTCTAAAAGGAAAACTACAAAAAACTAAAAAAAAATGGAAAATGATTCAAAAAAACTGAAAGACATCCCTGGATTGGAAGAACTAATATAATCAAAATGTCAATCCTACCCAAATGAATTTAACAAATTTAATGCAATCCCTACCAAATTACTACAGATGTTCTTTACAGATATAGAAAAAACAATTATAAATTTTGTGTAGAATCATAAAAAGCCCTTTATCACCAAAACAATACTGTGCAAAAAGAATAAAGTAAGAGGCATCTCACTCCCTGACCCCAAAATATATTACAAAGCTGTGATAATCAAAATAGCATGGTACTGGCACAATAACAGGCAAGTGGACTATTGGAATATAATAAAGAATCTAGAAGAAAACCCCAAACATACAGCCAACTAATTTTTGACAAAGGGCACAAGTCAATCCAGTAGGGAAAAGAAAATATCTTCAGCAAACGGGTTTTGGCAAAGCTGGATATTCATCTGAAGAAAAATGAAACTGGACCCTTGTCACTCACCATTAACAAACATGAACTCCAAGTGGATCAAAATCTAAACGTAAAACCTCAAACTACAAAACTACTGGTGGGAAACTCTTAGAGACATCTAAGTAGGCAAAGACTTCTTAAATGAGACCCCCAAAACACATGTAATAATCTCGAAAATAGACAAATGGGATTATATGAGGTTAAAAAACTTCTGCACAGCAAAAAGAAACAATAATTAGAGTGAAGCGACAACCCTCAGAATGGGAGAATATATTTGCAAATTATGCCTCAGATAAGGGACTGATTAACTTGAATATCCAAGGAACCCCAGCAGCTTACTTGGGAAAAACAAATAATTCAATTAAAAGATGGGCAAATGAGATGAACAGAAAACTCTCCAAGGAAGACATACGAATGACTGAAAAGCATATTAAAAATTGCTCAACATCTCTTAACATAAAGGAGATGCAGATCAAATCCAAATCAAAACCACAATGAGATGCCACTTAACTCCAGTCAAAATAGCGAAGATAAAAAAATAAAGAATGATAGGTAAGTGTGGGTGAGAGGGGAGCCCTCCCACCCTGGTGGGAATGTAAATTAGAACAACCACTGTGGAGAACAATATGGAGGTTCCTCAAAGACCTACAAATAGAACTACATACAGTCCAGTAATGCCACTCCTGGGTTTCTACCCAAAGGATAGGAATACACTCAGTCAATAAAACCCTTGCACATCCACGCTTACTGCAGTATTATTCACAGTTGCTGAGACCTGGAATCAACCAAAGGTCCAAGAACAGATGAATGGATTGAAAAAGTGTGGCACCTATACATTATGGAATACTACCCAGCCATAACAACAATGAGACCCCAGCATTTGATATAAAGTGAACAAATATGGGGGATTTAATGCTAAGCAAAGCAAGCCATTGTATGTCCCCATTTAATATATACTTAATGTCTGCACTTTATGGCAGAAACTGAACAATTGGAAAATAAAAAAACATGGAGAGCAACCATGGATTCTAGAGACTGTGGAAGGAGGGTGGGCAATGGGAGGCGGGCGGGAGGGAATCAGGGGAAAAAGCAAAATGGAAAATTATCTGTAGACAATAGTGAGTATAGTAATGTGTCTGACTGGACAAATTCACAGTGTATTCATGCTGGAAAAACTCATTTTGCAATGCTGTAAAGATGCCCGATGATTAAATGTAAAAAAAATAAGAGAATAAAAGAAAAAGAGTGTCTTTCACTGATGATTGACTGTTTAAAGGAAAAACAATAAAAGTGTATTGTGCAGTTCATAACGTATAGAGATGGATATTGATCACAGCACAAAGGCTAGGAGGGGGCAATGGTGTGTGTTGTGGTGGCTCGTATGTTACAAGGGAAGTGATATATTACTTGAAAGTAGGCCGTGATAAGTTAAAGATATACAAGCAGTAAAGCAACTAGTAATAAAAGAAAATGAAGATGTATGGCTGTTAGTCTAACAATGGTAGATAAAATGAAATAACAGATGCTCCATCTGAAAGGTGGAAAAAATAGGAATAAGGGAACGAAGGACAGATGAGACAAATAAAAACATACAGTAGGATTTAAACCCCAGCAACAGCGATGATGGATGAAATATTCTAAGCACCTCATTTAAAACACAAAAATTGTTATGTTGGATAGAAAGACAAGACCCAATTATGCAATGCTTACCTGAAACCCACTGCAAATATAGTGATATGAAAGTTTAAATGTAAAGGGCAGGAAAGGATACACCATACCAATAGTAAATTTTTTTCTTTTTTGGAGAGATTTTCGCTATAGGGCGCGTGTACTTGCCAGAAAGACAGAGAGACAGAATGCGAGAAATCACCCCCCAGGGGGGATGGCCACGCCGCAATCTCTTCTCCTCCATTCTCCTCTTGGGATTTTGGGCACACGCACACACGAACTTGGTATGAGTGTAAGTCACTGGGTCTGGGACTTGAACCACAGTCGACTACCTGGGAGTCCAGCAACGTAACCATTACACCATCTGATGGTCCCAACCAATAGTAATTTTTTAAAAAGCTGGAGTGGCAAGTCCAGCAGATGGCATAATGGTTATGTTGCTGGACTCCTATGTAATCGATCGCGGTTTGAGTCCCGACCTGGCAGCTTAGAACTCACACCTGCCGTGTTTGTGCATGCCCAAAATCCTGAGAGGAGAATGGAGAAGGGACTG